GGAGAGTGTGTTAGAGGGTGGGGTTGCTGTACCTTTGATTATGGCGAAGATAGAGAAGAAGAAAGCTGTAGAGAAAGCAGCAGAGATAGCAGCAGCAGCAGATGGGGTGATGGTGGCTCGGGGTGACCTGGGTCTGGAAGTAGCAGCAGCAGCAATGCATGCAGCACAGTATAGGGTACTGCGAGCAGCAAAAGAGAAAAAAAAAATAGTAGTAGTAGCAACACAACTCATGGAGACTATGATGGTGTCTCCTCTCCCTTCTAGACCCGAAATAAATGATGTTGCTGCTGCAGCAACAGCAGCAGCAGATGCTGTTATGCTTAGCCAGGAGACAGCAGCAAGCAGCAGGGGCCCCCTCATCACCCACACACAGCAACATATACTCACATACACAGAAAATACACACACATACTGGGCCCACCAGGACCTGGGGGGCCCCCACGCAGCCACCTTCCTAGCAGCCGCTACGCACCTCTGCACGGGGGCCCCCCTGGGGGCCCCCCTAGGGGCCCCCCTGGGGGGCCCCATGGGGAGTCTGGGGGCGGTGGAACTGCAGCAGCAACCGCAGCAACCGCAGCAGCAGCAGCAGCAGCAGCAGCAGCAGCAGGAGGGGGAGAAGGGGGGAGAGAGAGAGGAGGAGAAGAGAAGAGAAGAGAGAAGAGTAGATAGAGAAGCCCTAGCTGTTGGGGCTGCAACATGTGCCCGTGCATGCAGTGCCAATGCTATCATAATAAAAACAAAAGATAGGGGGGCCCCCCTCTCTCTCTCCGCGTTGAGGCCCAGGGCCCCCATCGTTGCTGCTACAGATGACCTCAGACTAGCCAGACAGATGCAGCTGTATTGGGGTGTATTGCCTGTCTTCTTGGGGCCCGCACAAGCATACATCAGCAGCAACTATATAAATATAAATAAAAATATAAATAAAAATAAAAATAATAATTATAAAGAAGAATATACACAAGCATCTACGAAACAACAAAAGATCACAACGCATCAACAAATTGTAGAAAATATAACACAGTATCAAGGGGCCCCCGAGGGGGGCCCCCAGGGGGGCCCCCATGGGGGCCCCCAGGGGGGGGACCAAGGGGGCCCCCAGGGGGGCCCCCACGGTGGGGGCCCCGAAGGGTACGATGCTGCTGAGGGGGATTGGTTTGAATACGCAAAGAAAAAGGCAAAGGAAGAGGGGCTGCTGCAGGAGGAGGGGGCCCCCATCGTTGTATGGGGGCCCCCAAGGGTACGGGGGGCCCCCGGGGGCCCCCGGGGCCCCGGGGCCCCCGTTGAT